TGCTCTTTTGGGTAGATGCCTAATAGTGCTATTGCTGGATATTTTATGTATGATTTTATATATGGAAGTATAACCAATTTACTAAAATGAATACCAGAAAGTGGAAAGAATCCCTCTTCCTACATTTGTATTTTTCTGTAGACTAGATAGTCCAGTCAGAGCCACTATAGACATCAATTCTCATTTCACATTTGCTTCTGAGCTGCTCATTCCCACTCAGTGCTTGAGGGGTTTAATATATTTTATTTGGCTTCATTCTCCACTAGATTTCTGCCTTTGGTTTTTCCTGTCCTTTACCTGCTTCCTCTTTTGGTGCAGGCTCTTCTGGGGCTTCTGGTGGTTGGGCCTGCTCTGGTGGGGGGGCTGGCTCTGGTAGGGGAACCTCCCTTGGTCGGGGGGCCTTTTCTGCTGGGGGCACTTCCTCTGCTGGTAGTACCTCATCTTTTGTGGTCAGCTCTGATTCCTCTAATGACTCCTTTTCTTTATGATGTACTGTCTGCACTTCACACATGAGGTAGGCAGTTGTAAGTAGACCGCACAGTAGTACTAGAAGAAATACAGGGACTATGAGCACTATCTTTTTAAAGTTTATGTCTTTATCCTTACTTCTAACACGACTGCTACTTGGATTTTTCTTAAGTGGCTCACCAGGGGGACCACTGTCCAAACTACCTCCTTCTTCTGGATATTGGCAGTAAGGGGGGGCAAAGCCAAACTCACAATGGCAGTGCCTTAAATTGTTGCAAACTCCTCTCCCATTACACATTTCCTCTGGTTCACAGTCATACTGGAGTATGGAATGATTCGTGCAGGAGTAATTGATGCAGACTTTGTTGGAGGCACAAGAAGTGCCACTCTGCACATCTTCATCATCAGGGATGTCAGTACTATTGAAAGCATCCATGCTCCAGGACCAGTCATCTCTGTGAGAGGGACCTGGATCACTGTATGCTGAGCTTGGATTCGTAGCAGGTATCTAACACCTGTACGTATGAGTTTCCCACAAAATATATTATTATCTGAACATGTAGCATATCTTTGCTGAGCTGCAGTGGGACGGCCACAGTTTCCAAACCAGTCCCCTTTGGTATTCATTGAGATGTAACAGTCTTCTGGGGCAGATCTTGCAGGGTACCCATATATATTCATGCATTGTTTATCAGGGTTCTTACACTGACCCCTAGAGCAATAGTGAATTCTGTCACACAATGTGCCATTCTTACTTGTAGCTGTCTGCAGTGCATTCTGCAGAACTGCCATCACAGTATTCTGGGAGGTCACACTCATCCTGAGTGGGACGGCATAAAAACCCCAGACTTCTAGGCCAGGCGTGGTGGCTCACGCCTGTAATCCTAGCTCTCTGAGAGGCCGAGGTGGGCGGATTGTTTGAGCTCAGGAGTTCGAGATCAGCCTGAGCAAGAGCGAGACCCCGTCTCTACTAAAATTAGAAAGAAATTAATCGGCCAACTAAAAATACATAGAAAAAATAAGCCGGGCATGGTGGCGTATGCCTGTAGTCCCAGCTACTCGAGAGGCTGAGGCAGACGGATCGCTTGAGCCCAGGAGTTTGAGGTTGCTGTGAGCTAGGCTGATGCCATGGCACTCTAGCCAGGGCAACAGAGTGAGACTCTGTCTCAAAAAAAAAAAGAAAAAATTAAAATGGGCTCTATAAGAACTTTTTAAAAATTTGTTCACTTTTGTAACTAAAATTGACCTGTAGTATGTGTGGAAGTCCTCAGATTTAGTTTCAATGTCAATTTTCTTGGTATATTTAACAGTACAAATTTAGAAGGTAAAAGAAATCCTATCTACCCCTTCCTTCTCCAGTCAGTTATTTTCCACTGCACTCTAAGATGAACAAAAATAAGACTCTACATCTTTTATCTTGCATAAAAATAACTTTATATTAAGTAGTTTATAACATAAAACCTTTCAAATAAGAGTTATGACTACAGGTAATACTCAAAAATGGGGAAATGCCCTAACTCAGAAAGGAATAGTATGGCACCGTAAGATCTTAAATATTAGCATGAGCAGATCAACTCATTAACTATCCCCAATTAATAATATTTAATTCCCCAGGTGATAAAATATATCATTAACATCTGGCAAGAAAATTCATTTGTATATCAAACCCATTAAATTTATAGCAGTGAAGGTGAAATGATTTCTAGATGGATTTCTGTTGTATTTTATGTAAGAGCAAAATATGTACTCTTAAAAGTATATATTTTAGAAACTATTACAGATTTCAGGTTGTTTCCCTGTGTTTTAACCAAATCAGGCAGGGCAAATTAGGTTAAGTCATTTGGTGGAATAAAAGAATCAAGAATCAATAATGGAAGAACACTCTAGTGTTTAAATAAATAAAAATATAATTAAAATGAAATATCCAATTTTCAAATTGAAACGCATTTTCTTCTGTAAATACATGCACACACACATACTTGCACACAAAATCTGATTTAAATCTTTTGACTTCTTTGGCCAACAGTTACCTACTATTCCTTCAGCTTACTCTTTCTCAAATCAATACAAGCAGCATGAACTCTTTTTAGAAAGCAATACCCCCTAGCTATGTTTAAAATGATACATTTCTGAAAGGCATTATTTTATGCTCATACGGTAAGTATATTAGCCAGAAAGATAGACAAGTTGTGCTATATCAAGCAGACTTATAACTGTGGTAAAGCCTCAAGGTATTTGAGTGACAAGTAATGACAGAGAGTTAGTAAATCATGTAGGAGAACTGGAGGCTATAACCTGCTGCTTTACTAGAACAGTTCTTACAATGTTAAGTTTCCATAGGTCAGAGAGGCCATAAAATACAAGGAAGATATGGTTTCACTTCCAGTTATGTGTAAATTTTGCATTATTAGCAAACTTGACTGGTATGCTAAAGCAGAATTCACTACTGGCCTAGGAATACACAAACAAAACTTCACTTTGAAAACCAAGCAGTGCTAGGTCCCTTGGGAGCTCTTGTTTTTTTAAGGAGCTCTGTCCAGAGCAGGACCCACTTTTGAGTTACAATGGCTGAGGCATCCTCCAGAGTATTCATAAACATCCAGCATGGTGCTCATTTGGACATGTCTGGACACAACATTCATTTTGGGGACGGGATGAATTCTGCCTGAAGTGACTGAAACACAGGCAACTGATGCTCCGAGTAAAAGGAAATACCATTTTAGATATCTAAAATTCAGCACACACTAAAGGGGGAAAAAAAGCCATCCTGAGTCTTTAGAAGATACCCAAATAACAAATTTGAGACGTTAATGGCAGACTGGGTAAACTAGAAGGTTCCTCTAAAGAAAAAGTAGTATAACAAAAGTAATTACTGACTTTCTCCATGGAAGACCGAACCTCTGCCCTAAGACAGGAAAACTACAGTTGTTCAGATAATACAAAAAACAAGTGCAGAGTTTTTCCTAAATGCAAGCAGTGATCTGCAAGATTGTATTTCTCTGAAAAACAGAATAGGCCCTTAATTCAACTCTCAGCTAAGTTTTCTGATCAGTAAATTTAAAACATTTTGTTTTTCTCTGCAGCCTCTGTTAGATTTTGCCATCATGAAAAGTATTCAGTTCTCCTTACAGGGTATCCATTTATAACAGTTACTCAGTCACCTAAGGTTAGTGAACCTAACCTCAAAAAATACCCTGAATTACAACTTCTTCAAGATAAAAGGGGAGCAATGTAATAAAGTAATTCTTAAAAGACATTTTATGTTTTTATCATATATTCCCACAGTCAGTCACACACACAGAGCATACTAGCTAAATGTCACCCTGAAGACACACTCAGCATAGCGGAGGAGTAAGAAAATATTAGTTAGTTCTGTGGGATTGATTTTGATCAGAGAATGTGATGGGATAAAACTGAATGACAGAGATTCCTAATCCTC